CCTGCCACGACGCTGGCTATTTTTTGGTTGCAGCCATCATTGTTGTTTGGCGGCCTGGGCTGGATTCGAACCTGCCACCTTAGGTGTATGTGGCTGGCAACTTAGCCACTTGAGCCACAGGCGCCGAGCCAAGTGCTGTGTTTTTAACAATGTCTTCCAAACTCTATCTCTATCTTTCTTTTCATTTCTTTTTTTTTTTTTTTTAAAGACAAGAGTCTCACTATGTCACCCTCAGTAGAGCACTATGGCATCACAGCTCACAGCAACCTCAAACTCTCGGGCTTACGTGATTCTCTTGCCTCAACCTCCCAAATAGCTGGGACTACAGACACCCACCACAATACCCAGCTATTTTTTTGTTGCAGTTGTCATTGTTGTTTAGCAGGCCCAGGCAGGGTTCGAACCTGCCAGCCTTGGTGTAGGTGGCTGGCGCCCTACCCACTGAGCTATGGGTGCCGCGTGTATCTCTTACTCATGACTTTGTGAAGGCCACTTTCCTCATGAAAAACTAGAGGCTTAGCTGGGCACAGTGGCTCACCTAGCACCGTGCTGTAATCCTAACACTCTGGGAGGCCAAGGCGGGTGGATTGCTTGAGCTCACAAGTTCAAGACCAGCCTGAGCAAGAGCGAGACCCCCGTCTCTAAAAAATAGATGGTCTGGGTGGTGCCTGTAGCTCAGTGAGTAGGGTGCTGGCCCCATATACTTGGGGTAGCAAGTTCGAACTGAGCCTGGCAAAAAAATAACTGGGTGTTGTGGTGGGTGCCTGTAGTCCCAGCTACTCGGAAGGCTGAGGCAAGAGAATCACCTAAGCCCAGGAGTTGGAGGTTGCTGTGAGCTGTGATGCCACAGCACTCTACTGAGGGCGACAAAGCAACACTTTTGTCTCTTAAAAAAAAAAAATAGCCAGTTGTTGTGGTTGGCTCCTGTAGCCCCAGCTACTCAGGAGGCTAAGACAAGAGGATCACCTGAGCCCAAGAGTTTGAGGTTGCTGTGAGGTATGATGCAAAGTGAGACTCGGTCTCTAAAACAAACAAACAAACAAACAAAAACCAAACCAACTAGGGGCTTGGGGACCAGATGATATCTGAAGGCTTTTTCTGCTCAGACCTTCTGGAATCACAAGAGAACTCTGTCCCCTGCACACTGGCGTGCTTACGAGGACTTTAGGGCTCAAAGTCGGGTCCAGTCCTTCCCCACTGGCTGTGTCAGCAAAGTCTCTGCCCTTCAGCACCACCGTCTACAGAACACGGAGAGTGAGGGGCCTGCCTCCCAGGGTGTGAGCATCACATGAAATCAGGCATTGGGAGTATTGAGCATATGCCTGGTGTGTTAGTGCTCAGTAAATGGCAGTTCTCATTTGGAGTATCATTATTCGTGTGATCCTCACTGTTCCTAGCCTCAGCCCTTTGCCTTCCTTTACCACCTGCAAAGAGCTTGAATTTATTCCTCTTTGCCCAAGTGGTCTCTGATAAAAGCTACCATTGGCCAAGGGTAAGCTCTGTGTTGGCCACTTAAATGGCCAGTTTAAATGATTTGGCCATTTAAATTTGCATGATTTTCTCACTGGTTTATCAGAACAAAGCTGTGCTCCACTTTCCAGATGAGGTAACTGAGGCTCAGAGAGGTTATATGACTTGCCCAAGTCCCACAGATAGTTGTTGGCAGAATCAGGATTCAAACTTAGGTATGTTTGACTGCAGAGTCTGCACTCCATATTTGGTGGGGTCAGAGTCAGGGTGCAATAAGCTGGGGAGCCAGGCAGCAAGAAAAGCATGAGGTTTACACTGACCCCTTCTACCGAAGACCCCCTAGAGCCAGAGCAGGGAAGCTGCACCATTCCTAGGCCATGCTCTTCTGGGACCTCTGAGAGGGAGGGATGGCCTCCTTGGCTCTGTGGTGCCCAGCCTGGGTTGGCACATCTTTGCAGAATAAACCATCAATACACTTCATTTGACAGAGGATTAGAGGAGTAAGGAGAGGACTTTGTTCAAAGTCCCACAGTGATCAGCAGCAGGGTGCTGGTAGTGGAGATCCAGGTCGGGGGCTGGTGGGAGGCTCCCCCGCCCCTTCAAGAGTCCTCACCGCCCTTCTCAATGTCCCGGTGCCTGCTCACTCGGCAAAGCTAAATGTGGCGTGACCGGGGAAGCGCCGAGCTGGCCGTAACTGGACACCACAAGGGAGCAGGCATGGGGCCCGAGGTGTGGGGCAGCCCATCTCCGGCTCTGCATGACTGCCCCGGCCTGGCCCCTGCTCCCTGGACAGCGTGGGCCTGCCTGCCACACCTTGCCCCGGTGCAGAACTGCCTTCCAGGGAGGAGGTGCAGCGGGCTTGGTGCCTTCCCTAGATGTTCTCCAGCTCCTCCAGAAGAAGGACTAGGGGCTCTTCCTCTCTCAGATCTTAGGATTTGTACAGGTGGTGGCCACTCCTCTATCTGGAGGCAGGGTAGCATGGTGGTTAAGGGCAAGGGTCTGGATTTGGGTCAACCTCAGTTTGAGCCCCAGCTTTGTCACTTTCTGGCTGTGTGATTTTGAACAGTGTCATTCTCTCTATCTCACTTCCACATCTGACAAATAGGCACAAGGACCCACCTCACAGGATCACCATGCGGTTTCAGTGAAAAGGTGCATAAGGTGCAGTCATATAGGAAATACTCAAGGACGCGTGTTGAGTCCTCATCCCTCCCCTACATCTGGTCTCAACTGGCCAAATGAGGTGGGGCTCAAGGGCCCCAAGCTCTACAGTTGCCCTGATGGTGTCACTGCTCCAGGCCTCACAGCCCCGGGAGACTGGCTGATGACCCACCCCCCAGGTGGCAGCTGTCTTTACCAGCTTTCCCTGCTGCCTGGCCTTCACTCAGTCTGGCCTTAGGGGCCTCTGGTCCCAGCCCTGCTCCTTTTGGCAGAAGTGAATCTGAGGAGGTCTCTCTGAGCCCCAGCTCTGACCTGCACCCCTTCTTGAGGTCTGGCCTGCCCAGAACCATCTTTGCACCAGGACATTATCTATAGCCCTGGCTAAGTCCCCACATATCCAAGCCCTTGACTGAGACTTCAGTTCACAGCAATGACCGTCATAGCCACTACCCCATCTCCTCAAAGTCCACAGGGATAGGTTTAGAACCAGAGAAGTTACAGAGTTCAGAGGCCCACCCCTTAATTTGCATCGAGGATTCAGAAGTCCCTGAGAGGTCCTCAGTCGAAGGTTTAATCTAGGCAGATTTTATAAGTGATGACTCCTGATTCAATGACCACAATGCCCCCTTGAATGGCTCAGCTGAATCTCTGTTCTATAAATGAGACCCAGAGAAGTGGTAGTTTCTTTTCTAAACCCACACAGTCCAGGAAAGATAAGGTCTTCCTCCAGTTGCATTCAAAAGGGCCTCCTGCCTCAGGGACTGAGCAAAAAGCTTCTGCTCAGTGTCCATGTGGGGCTCCTGTCCAGCACCTGGAAGGGCTCACTGTGGAGTGAGGGGTGAGGCTGCCTTGGCCCTGGTCCTTCCCTGGAGTAGCTGGCAGAGCTCCTGAAGCTGGATGATCTGGAGTTAGGACTAGGTTTGAATCCCAGTAACTGTGGACTTGGGTTGAGCAAGCTGCTTAACTTCCTTCCCTGGGCCTCAGTTTCCTTGTTTGTAAAATAGGGCTTATAATACATACCTCTCTGGAGGATTAGATGAAATATTGCTTGTAAATAGCTTAACACATAGTATGTACTCAATAAATGATAGCTATTATTAATAATTAGCAGTGGGACAGAGTTAATTTAAGGCATGAGCTCTGGGGGTGGGGCCAGGGAGAACAGAGGGAGCTCCTATTTCCTGCCCTTTCCACCTCCCACCTCCATCTCCCTGACATCACCCCCCACCCTCTGCATTGGCAGAGGCTAAACTTCTCTCTTGACTCTCTGTCCTCAGAGGTCATTTCCACCATTCCCTTGTGGTATAGCCAATACCTATAGAAACTCCCAGAGACTCCCAGAAACTCCCAGAGGGGTAGGTGACTCTGTTGCTTTGATTCCTCAGGAGGCCTCCCAGATGGCCCGTGTCTGGGGTGGGCATCTATGTTCAGAAGGACTCTTTCACAGAAAGCAAACCTTTATCCCTGCCGCTTTAGTGTCAGGGATCATGATGGGACAGGTGCACGGGTATCAGTGCACCAATGTGGGAGGCCAAGCCAGTTCCCCTCCTTTCTCAGAGCCCA